CTTATGACAAATTTTCACAGTAGTTTTACACCGGGTGTTAGACCGCCGTGCGTGCACGGCGTCACCAAATCTAGTATATATATATATATATGTGTGTGTGTGACAGACCCGCACGCTTTATAATTCTATTTATTACAATTATATGATTTGGACTAACACATAACTAGGTTCAGTTGTCAACTAGACACTGTAATTACCATAATATCTTGTAAAATACGTTGTTATTATTTCCTTTTTAATCTTATAATACTATTTTTTATTTTTATTTCTTCCTAATTTATGGTGATTTTTCCTAATCTCAATGATTGAATTGCTAGATATATTCTCATTTTTTTTTTTTTGGTACAAAAATGTATTCTCATTTAAATAATGTTTCTCCCATTTACCGATTCTGAAACAAAATATTTGAAGAAACGAATTTGCCTACTGAAATATGATTATCAGAAATCTCAAAATATTTCGTTGGGTCAAAATCTTTTTAATCTTCAAATATACAACAATATAATATTTGCACATAAATCTTATTTGATTTTACTACCTACTAGTGCGTATTTCGTGCGATGCACGGATATATAAATTTGGAGAATATTATAATTTGACATGCATTAGGATATATGAGGGTTTAATACATACGAACATTATTTATCATAAAATGTTCGTCACTAAAAAATCTTATATTATTAAAAACCTCTTTGTATACAACATATGAGTTTGATTATTGTTTAACTCGTTGTGAGGAGCACATGCCGACTCCGGCCGAACGCGGGCTGCGAAAATTGGGCCTCACTCAACTGGGCTCCCTTGTTGGGCTTCTATCCTAGGTTGCAGATGCTGATTGTTGTCGCCAAAAAAATTGCCCCAATGCTTGGACAATTTTTCTAATTTCCAACTATATTATAAATTATATTTTATTTCAAGTTTAACTTTTTCATTCCTATTTTATGAAGATAGTTATTGTACATTCCTAGCTATACTAATAAAGTATGTTTTTAGTTTGAATCATGTAACTTCCTTAGTAATGAGTTGAATAATTTATAGATAGAAACATAATTTAATGATTCCCTCTAATCTCTCTCCCTCTCCCTTTTTCATATTTCATAGTATTTCACAATTTTCTCCAAATAAAACAAAGAATTACATACAACAATTATTAGGTTGACCATCAAATAAATCAAAATAAGGCTGTAAATAAATGTAAAATTTTCCTTAATAATTTTTGTATTGTTTTGAAAATAATAATTGCAATGTTTCAGGTTCGACACAAAATTGGTTTGTTTGTTTTTTATTAATTGTTTATGAATAAGCTATCTATCTTAAATTTTTGTTCAAAGTTGGTTTATTTTTTATTTTTATCATCAGATATATCATGTTAGTCATCATTGGACATAAGCTCATAGGATTTGATGATAAATATGCATTTAGATTTTAACTTGTGCAATATAAATGTAAAAAATACAGAGAATATAATAACGCTAAATTTAGTTTATTGGACATGTGCACAACAATGAGAAAAATGTGATTTTCTAAATTAAATTTTCAGGATAAATGCATTGCCAAATCATAAATTTCCGCAAGGAAGTAGCTTGCTCTAATATATTATTCGAGATTTCAGTGTCGATGGTTGTTTTTTTACGGTAATGCAAGTAGAATTTGGGTAAAGCAGAATGGAAAACGTTTTTGCAAATCTGTAGATGAGAATGAATTTAGAAGAACCGTATTTATAAGAATATATACATTATTAAAATCTGAAAACAATAAAGAGTCCCAAGAGTTGGAAGCCGTGTAATTAATATTTAATTAAACATATAAATTATCGATCTACATATTATAGCTGATATGTTTAATTTTATAATACCATAAAAGTTGGATTTGTTTCCAACCACTACATCTTATAATAACTGGTATGTAGAGATTTTCATAATAAAAAAAAATAAAAACATAAAAAAATAAAAAACACGCCAAAACTGAAAAAAAGAATCCCAAAACTTGGAAACAATATAATTTTGAATTTAATTAAACATAAAAAACGGTTATAAAAATCATAGTTGATTAGAAAGTATGTTTAATTTTAGAATTCCATATAAATTGGATTTGTTTACAACAAACAGAGGTTATGTGAAAATTGAAATCTTTACAGGAAAACAAAATCGTGTTACTAACTTATATGTTAGGTAATTAGAAATAAAAATGTATCCATAAAAACACGTGCTTAAAAAATTGTAATTATTAAAAAAAGTTTTATGTCATGTCAAAAAG